CTTAGGATATGTGAGTCGTAGTCCTCAAAGAAGTTTTTAAAAATCTTTCACTTAACTGCAGGCTATTTTAAAGGTCATTGCTTTTTGTTGGTTTTTATACAAATGCATTGTACTTTTCCTTTTGTTATTTAGGAGAGTTTAATCAAGAAGGAATTTACGTTTTTGCCGCATATTACAAAAGCGGCTGAGGAACACCTTAACCATATTTCTTCGCTGCATTCCAACGACTCCGATCCAGGTGTTGTTCTGTTTTGGAAACTGTAATTAGACAACTGATGACAGAAAGTTCCTTTTGCATTACTTTTATCTGAGAGCATCTCAAATAAATTTTTAAGAACGCATTGGGAATGAGAATGATTAAACTACTTTTCAGGGGTAGGAAACAGAACGTACGTTGGAGTGCACATGAGACACGGCGATGTAGCTCATGAAGAATATTACCTATCTTATGGATACACAACACCAAACGAACATTATCTGCAAAAAGCATTTTCGTATTTTAGGTCAACAAACCTAATTTTTTTAGACGTTACTATTTACGTTCATTTAAGATGAAATTTTTCAGCAGTTTCTATTTCTTAAACAATTGAAACTGGTTTAGGTCTAAATACGTAAAGCCAATTTTTGTTGTTTCAAGTGATGATATGGAATGGACAGTAAAAATAATTCGAAGAAGTTTAAAAGGTAATAATAATTTTCGAAAAATTTATTTTTTACATACTGAAATAATAAAAGAAGCACTACTAAACCTAACCGTTGCAGCTGCATCTAAGCTTAGGCGACACTATTATATTTCCACTATACATTTAAAGTTACATGTGCTTTAGTGCTTTAGCAAATTGCTCCAATATGTGCCAAAAGCAAATCAGAGACCTGCTAGAAAACATCACACTAAAGTCGTAGTCTATTTCTTCTGCTTCTATCTTGTTTGTTTTCAAAATGCTTCATTTCAGACACAAATGATATAAACTTCTTGCCCTCTGCTTCCGGAGAAGTGCATATGGCTACACTTGCATTATGCAACCATACAATTGGAAGCACTGGTTCCTACACATGGTGGGTTGGCTATTTGACAGGTGGCGAAGTTTTGTACTACCAGGATTGGCCTAGAAAAAATACGGAGCTTGATACACAAGTAGTAAAAGAGGATTACTTTCCTTCTTCTTGGAAAGGAATATTGTAAGCTCAACCAGCAACTATTGTTGACCCTGTTAAGTACCTCAGACCTTACAATGAGTTGTCATAATAGTTTAGAGTATTTTCATTATTTCTTTCACAGCAATTATCGAAAAAAGTTTTAACGACACAAGAGGATAACTGTTAAAATAAGGCAAAAAAACCGCGGAATTTGTAATAAAAAAAACCAGGTTGAGAACACCAACGTAGCATTTTTGGTGTGCTACGGGGTTAAATTTGAAGGTAATTTTTTGTTTTGGAAGCGTTTTTGGCAAGGAAGCTTCGTTTTATTTGTTAAATTGCACTTCATAAAACATCTTTG